AGTGACACAGTTTTGCATTAGATTGCTACTTTTGGAGATTACAGTGTATGTATAAAATAAAAATTTTCTTGTTATGATTTTGTAGAAAGAGATCTACTTGAGTGGTTGGCTGGTCTTGAACCTGGTCAGGATGGATATGGTAATGAAGGTGATAGGGCAGAAAGTGGTGACCAGTTAAGTGATGAGGATGAAAGTGATGAGAACGAAATCACCCATGCTGTACCATTCAAGTGCACCAGTGCTGCTCATGAGAAAAACTACCAACATCATTTGGAACAGGCAATATACTTGCTCTTCATGGACAAGATAAACCAGTGAATGTAAGAATATGGCCAGAGCAATTGAATGCAATGGACCCAAGTGCAATTGATCTGGACTATATGAAACTGGATGGACACATGTTGGTTATTTGATATTGCTTCTGAACTATGCGAGTATTTGCACCCACTAATTTCCGCAGGAGATATCTTAGAGGTCTATGTTCAACATATCAAGTATAGGGTTGACTTTTTTAAAATAGGATTTTAACCAAAAATTTCATAAAGTAATGTGGTGAGTGGGAGACTCAAGTGGTAAAGAAGAGCATGAGTGTATGTTGACAGATGTTTGTGATATAATAGCAACTGACTAGGTTTAGCAAGTTATAGAAATGCTGTTATTTCAATTGGCTAAATTTTTAGATTTTTTGTCAGCATTTTTAAACAAAAACTAGGTTAATCACAAGTGGGTGCAATTAAAACAATGTCTATCATGCACACTCATGCAATTAAGTACATAATTGTAACATGTGCTGTACACTAAATGAATAAATAAATAGTTTATACATTCACTTGACCAACTTTGTGAGTAATTTTTCATTAAAATTAATGCAACAATAAAACAAAAATATGTCTATTTATATACACCTTATTTACATATTGATCAAAGGTCCCACAATAACATGCTGCTGATACTTTGTGGTACATTATATGAGAATACAAAAAAAAACTGCATATAATGCACCTATCAATGTTAAGTCCCAGATGTGGGGTATTTGATTATTAATTGCATCCCCACCCTAGGGATTTGATTAGGATTTTGGGCCCGAGTTAGTGCAATTTGAACCAAGATGACTTTTATTAATATAGTATTTATTGCAGTTTATTGCAAAATGTTGGGGTATTTGGCCAATATTTATTGCCCAACAGTGGGACATTTGATTGAAAATTTGCTCAAAAAATCAAATGCCCCACATATGTCTGACCCCCCTCTGTGAGGCTTAACATTGATAGGTGCATAAAAACAACCATTTCTCAAACTTTATCTGAATTAGTTGTGTAACAGCATTTATACAAAATACTGTTAAAAAAGGACAAGTGGGCCTTCACTGCTATAAAGGGCATTCTATCCAATGGCATTCTAGGACCAATTAACATCTCCATGGCGTTGTTCTCCAAAGCATCGAGCAGCTATATAAATCAGATTGTCTTTTTGACCAGCATGAAGTACAGACATAGCCTTGGCAACAAGTGGGAGAAAATTTTGAGGGACAAATTTAGCATCTAGACCAGGATTAAGTTTTACCAGCCATTTTTGAAACAGGTGGATGAGTAGTTGTCGCTGGATTAGTTTTGAAAATCCAGAAGTCATCATATCAATAACATTTACCAGAGAGGTGAACAAGTTTAGAACTCCAAATTTAATTAATGATGATGCTTAATTCTTGCAGACAGAATCATTGACAAAAATAGAATCCACTAGCCAAAATCACAAATCTCAAATCTAAAACATTAGCCAAACAATAAATTTCAGCAATAGAATATTCTTACAGAAGTGCTTTAATTACTTACATACTTTAAACAATACATATAAATCCATAATATATCGAAACTTCTGTAGTATATCAAATCTCTTTAGAAAAAATCTAGTAATAGGAGTTCATTATTGATCTGAGTGACAAGGCAGCACATTTTACAAAGGGCTATATTCAACGGTGAATATCTCGACAACGGTTGAGAGGCCGAGGGGGGCCGGCTGGATAGAATTAAAGATTATACTTTTATTTAACTAATCGTGAAAAAAATAGCGAAATCGAACCATGGAGATTTGAGATTTTTGTCTTCAAAGATTGTTGACAGAAACGCCATTAAATTATATCGCCACGGCATAGCGCCTAAGTGAGAGGTCAAAATAAACTCCAAAATGACGCTTACCTTTTAAGATACCGTTCCAATGGGTAGATTGACTGTTGTAAAAGTAGTATCGCGTGAAATTTTCCAAAAAATTTGCATAACAATATGAAAAAAATCGATATTTATGAGCCCTATGTAAATTTTCGATGCCAAAAGCTTCGTGCGAGCATGAGGAAAATGGCGCAATCTGATTGGTCGAAATGTTTGCCTAATTGGCTGTCCAACCTCCTCTGGTTTGAAACTATAAAAACATGCATAAATTCTAACATAATCTTGTCTGTATTTGTTTTATCGTTTTCTTGTGGTTTTATAGCACCGGTATATTCCGAGTCCTGTCCGATTCGCTTCCGACGAATTTTAATATCACAATCCCGAGTACTGTCCGATTTGTTTCCGATGAATTTTAAGATTATAAAAACCCCGACACACTGCTTCTTAAGTTCAGCATGTCTAGTGTCATATATCCTTGCAACCAATAACGTTTGCCGACCGGCACAATTTTCAAACGGGGATAACCAACCATGCACAAGCATGTATGTTTGGCACTCTGCTTTATTGAAAAGCTTGCATTACCGGCCATGTTTGGCACTCTGCTTTATTGAAAAATGTCAACAGCACTAGTAAAATAAGTGTCTGGGTTCAAATTGTTCATATGTTCACTTCGAAATGATTGTATTTATAAACAAATATGGTGATTGCTAGTGTTCTGCTGGTGCCAGAATGATTATGTAAAGTTAATATTGCCATATACTGTACTTTAGTGCATTCTTGCCATTTAGTTTTGTATTTACCAGTACATGTAATTACCATCTTCATTTTATATATAATGTGGAAGTATACAATGAATTATGAGCCAAATACTTATATACATCTTGATATAGGTGTACAACTAGTGTTCTCATTGAAATGTATATTATACAGTCCCCCCCCCCCCCCCCCACTTTCATTCAGGGTCATTGGAGATATGTCCAATGAGAGGGGGAAGGGTGAGGTTGCCAAAGAGAAAATTATAAAATATCATAGATGTTTAGGCTTTTGTAATCGCAGAGTTACATTCCCTATATGGGGAACTGTTGCATGGAAACTCGGCATGCCATGGGTTTGGACGAGTTAAAGGTTACACAGGAGGTTTTTACCATCTTGTTTGTTGCCATGGTGTAAGTATATTTTAATATTGTGAACAAAGTACTCCTATTGTAGTAGTGTTTGTAGAGAGGCTCACTTTTGAATCCACATTACCCAACTTAGAATTCAGCGATGATAGTGTATGACGTGATAGACTATAACTATCATGTCATAGAAATCAAGACTCCAGAGCAAATAATGTACTTGTTTTAGTAAAAGCCAGCTTTACTATTTATTTGTGAAAAATTGTGACGAAGAGATGGTTTTTCCCTACTCGCCACCTATATCGACAATTAGTAAAAACTTAGTCATGTTCAAATGAAAATGCTGCATTCAGATTGGCTACACTACTCGCCATCTAATTAACAATTAGATAACATGAGCTGGAGATTTCTATGTTAATATGAGAATGAGATTTCTATGATTATATGAGCTCAAGATTTCTATGATGTAAACTATCATCTCATACAAAACTATTATATGTTTTATCGCCATGCAAACGTACAAAGAACTTATAACTTAAACTTTTTTTCAAGTTTGTACAGTATGTGTGACATATTCGATCACAATTTCTAACTTTGTCACATTTCTAGTAAAACTATTTATCAAATCGCAAGCAATTTGTTTCAATTGGTAATGTTTCTTCTCAATATACTGATCTGATTTGTGGTATTCCCCAAGGATCAACACTTGGTCCCATAATTTTTCTTATTTATATTAACGTTTGGTCTTATACTTTTTCTTATTTAAGGAAACTTAAAAACGTAGCACCTCTTAAAGTGAGAAAGCAACTTGCTGAAACACTCATTCTGTCAAAGATCGATTACAACGATGCTGTATCAAATCCAATTCCGGATTATTTGATGAAACGTCTGCAGTGCGTCCAACTGGCAGCAGCAGGATTTGTTTTGGGACGGTTTGCCACCATGCCGGAAATCTTATCCTTAGGCTTAGGTTTCCACTTTCCAGTTGTCGAATGCAGGGAGTTTAATTTATCAAAACTAACTTTTAAAGCTTTGTATGAACAGCAATGGCCTTCATATTTAAAACTTGAGAAGTATACACCAAATAGGACACTTCGTTCATCAACAGAACATAAATTAAAGGTAGCCTTGGAAGACGGCACATTTCAGGCCTGCTGCACTAAAGTATATAACACTTTACCTGAGGACATTAGATCATGCACTAATTATTTTAGCTTTATAAAATTAGCTAAGGCTTATTTTAGCAATAAGAATTGTATATATATTTGAAAAAAATTGTATATATATATTTGTAGTTAAAGCAGTAGTTAGTTTTATTGTAATTAGCATGAGAATAAACCTTTATTATTATTATTATATTCATACCTGTAATAAGCTCTTATCAATATGGTTATTTGCTGATGACACAAACGTGTTTTACTTGGACAAAAACCTCAACAATCTTGAACAAATAATCAATGAAGAACTTATAAAATTAACAGATTGGCTTAGAGCAAATAAATATCAAAATATAAATACATGTTAATATCTTCATCGAATAAATTGAAGGTAAATCTGGATATTAAAATAGGTAATATTTCACGAAAACAATCTGAATTTGTAAAATATCTAGGTATATACATAGATCAAAATTTAACTTGGAAGTCTCATATAAATCACATATCTAAGATTTCAAAAAGCATTGGAATCATCTCCAAATTACAGCATTATGTTGACCTACCTGCACTAAAACAAGTTTATTATTCTCTTGTTTATCCATATTTACAAAACAAGATTGTCTCATCTAAACAAGTTAAATAACAAAGCTATTAGAATAATGACGTTTTCACATTTTCAAGCTCATGCTCCTCCACTCTTTAGATACCTCCACATCCTACAATTATCAGACATTAATTATCTATATCTGGCTCTATTTATGCATAATTAGGTAAACAAGAAGTTGCCAGAAGCATTCAATGATTATGCAACACCAGCTTCTGACATGCATAATTGTAACACCCAACATGCTTCAAAAAATCTATTTGTATTACCATCATCAACTAATTATGGTTATTTTTCCGTTAAATTAAAAGGAACTACAATTTGGAATAACCTGCCAAATTATATAAGAAAGTATTCATATTCAAAATTTAAGAAATATGTAAAACATAATTGTTTTTTGACCTATACATAGATTTTCATTTGCTCTAGTGAATTAATAGCCATTAATATTTAACTTCTTTTCACACATTTATATCAACTATATTAATTTAATTATCCGTTATTGTTATACACTTTATTGTTTGACTGGATAATACTAATACTTGAATATGAAAAAACCATAGATTGACCACATATTTTATATTTCCTTAATAAATTCAAAGGGGAGTTGGCTTAGAAAACTTATAGTTACTCCAACTTCCCAGCACCATTGTAATAATACTTATATTTCCTATTTGTCAACCTGTCCTCTTTTTTGTAAAAAAGGTGTGAAATAAAATGACTTGATTTGATTAGTATGAAAATGTGCTTTTTATGTTTCCTTTTTCCAGTGTGCACTGTTGCTTCCCAATTCCTTTTCCTTCAAGAGTCTGTCCGAGATGCTTCAGGCATATATTTATATCTCATGGCCAGAAATTCAAGACATTGAGCCGTTCTATGACCAGCGGGTAATCGCTGAAATATTCAAACTGGCAACTAAACGTTCTGCATCAAATTTTGGAGGTAGTTATTCGGAACTGCACAATTTTAGCTCGGTAGTTTTATACAATGGTGTTTCGAAGAAGAAAAGGCGGGAAATTTACGAAGTGGAGAGACTTATTCCAGAAAGAAAGTCAAATACGTAAGTATAAATGGCCAAAGTTTTGTTTAAATTTTGTATTTAAATAATGCCAAGAAATACAAAACGCAATGCTTTTAATATATATTCTTGTGTATGCGTAGCATTTACAACATCTATAATGCACGGATATGTTGTTTGACAACCTTTTTCATTTGACATTGCAATTCAAGTGTGTTATAAAATAGAACTTTCAAAAATGCATGTCAGTGATATGGCAGTGCATATTGTCATTTGTTGATACTGGCTGGCAAATTTAAATTATAAGATTTGTAAACATTTGGACGTCAGCTATATTATAATATAGGGCATGGCTTGATAGTTTCAGATCTAGATTCTCTGATCTAGACTTTCTTAGGACACTTTGTATCTTATCAAATGGGCTGGTTGGCCACTTCAGTCATCTACATGGGAGCCTTCTACAAATCTGAATGATGATTTACTCAGGCAAGTGTTCAGCCAAATTTTAAATTTTGTTATATTTTATGATTGATGCTCTGGTATTTATCAATTTATATTGTTGGGCATTTGTAGGGGTTATGAAAATCCACCCAAGCCATCTGTTAGTAGACTGGATCAAGCTGCTAAAGCATTCTGCTGCAACATTCTTTCAATGCTTAGATCAAAATCACTTAATGCTACGGGCCAAATCGAAATTGATCATGATGTATGGTGATATGTGACGCAAGGAAAAGGAAAACCATCTGCACACAGGGGTCATTTCATGTATGAAAAGGGAGATTTCAGTCGACTTACAATGCTACCTAGCGACTGGTGGTACTACTGCAATCGACATGGTGAGGGCAGAAAGATAGATTTCCCTCTTAAGGCTAAATCAGTACTACATTGGTCAGCCAAGAAATATATTTTTAATGGCGCTGAACTAGTAGAAGGACCAAGGCTGCCAATAGAAAAAATTAGTGTTTCGTTTGCTCGCCTTCCTTGTAATGCAGAAAACGTTTAAATATATATTTAGTGTAAATACATGGATGATACAATTATAAATTGCTTGATATACTTTTCTATAAAATGGGGGACACAGTTATTTAGTCTTTCAATGCAGCTCGTAAGATATCCTGTAACTTTTCTAACTTGCGTGCACGAGTTTTCACCCCTAATTCCTGAAGCTTTGCTTTGATTTCAGCAACTGACAGATTAGTGATATCCAAATGATCTGGACCAAAAGCGCTGTCTCCACATTCGAGATTTGCCTCTGCTAATAACTGCTTTCTTCTCTTAGCTCGTTTCTCATTTATTTGAGTCGACCAATATTCGTTGTTTGCTTTCTGGTAACCTCTGCGCTTTCTTGCTTGTTCGCCAGTCACTTGCAACCTCTTGCTAGCAAGGAGAATATTTCTGGGGGCATCCCACTTGTTAGATTTTGTCCGATGGTAAGTTCTTACATCATCGTTATTTTTTTCTACCCCTGTAATGTAAAAATATGTACAATAAATATACATCACTAGAGAAAATGAACTGTACTTGTGATAATAATGGGTTTGCTGTATCATCCAGTAGTATAGATAGCCATAGCAAATGGTCCTGCTGTGCAGATTTGTGATGATTTATGCAATGTCTTGATTAGCATAGGAGGACCAAACGTCATGGCTAGCCTTGCCACTGGTAGCAGCCTCTCTGTATGAGTCGGCTTTTGCAAAGATTGCATTACTTTAATTACCTTGACCTGAAAACTTCCTAAAGCCATTGTGTTTAAGCATGAAATTTGGGACATGATAAACAAGTGTATGGTGTCACTGCTTGTTTTCCAAATCCGATCCCTTCTCCAAGGGAGCAAAATAGTTGAATCCATGCTGAAGCCTGATAAATGAAACAAATGATTTATATAGCTAAATATAGTTACTATGTGAGAAGTGAAGTGGTCAGCATATATGTCATTAATTAATTTGTTAATGATATATTATTGTATACTGATTACTTTTATTTAATTTTGACAGAAAGCGAATAATAGTAGTTTGAACTCAACCTTCTCAAAGAAATCAGCAACTTTTCGGCAGAGGGATTGCGCTGATTCATCTTCTCGTATACCTGTGCAAAGCCCTAGAATGTAGAAATAATTTCTTTTGATATCTGGAAACAATACTACATTATTTGTATTCCAACCTTGATTTTGCAGAGTGATTCCAGTATAATTTAAAAAATAAAAATGAATCTTCATTTATTTTAAAAGTACAAGTACCTCCCAGAGTTTTACAACAGAGTCATTTGCGTCTGTATTTAGGGTGTTCTTTAACTTTTCTGGAAGATTCTTTAATAAACGCTTTTTGTCCGAACCAGTAAGACTCGTAAAATCATACACCCCACTGCTTTTACCATTGGCATTTTTCTTTTCCCAAACATTGAAGGATACTCCACATGCTTGAATGGTGTCAATAAGGTCTGTCAGGTGCTTGCTTTCCATATCCTTAGGGGCCTTGTTTATGTTGTCTTTATGATCCCATTCAATAGCCCCATTGACTAAACTTTTCGTCAATTTGTCTGAAGATATTTTAAAGACAAAGTTAACTATAAACCACCTTTTTTATACTGGTTATGTCTGCAAGGTAGTTCTAGCTAAACTGATCTTCCAAGATTTCTGTAACCCCAATCCAGCATAGCTCTGGCCAGATGTTTCATAGCTCTGGCAAATGGATGCAGCAAACTAACTCTTTACATGCAATGACATGCCCTCTTATAATCTATTTTATAATACCGGTAATGCGAAGCATTAAGTGGAGCTCATCCAACACCACATTCTCAAGCTTGATGTCCAGTAATGGCTGATGCTGACATGAAAATGCAGATTTCAGGGCACAAGATTTGATGTCTTCTATTGTTCGGTGATCATGTGTTTCCCAGTAATCCATGGCCTTTGACATATCCCATCTAAAAGAATGGTACTGACTGTATTTTGGGCAAATAAAATAAACAATATTCAGGGCTCCAAAGGGACTTTTTCTTGTGCCTGGGGTTCCTGGGTGACAACCTAGTTTTGGATCTGATAGCCTACTATAGATGTCCTACAATTCATTAGAGGACATCTTCTGATGTTAGATCGGTAGTTCCTTGCTCTAAGTATGACTTTTAAATTAAAATATTCTTTTATAATTTTTTTCTCACTTGCACACATAAGACTGAGTAAACTTGTAATTCTTATCGTTTTTATAGCTGCTATTTACTACAATGACATCATATTTAACGGCGGTTGAGTCGTCATCTTTTCCTTTATAGAAAATGACGTTATGTAGTTACTCAGCAATACGCCCAGTATGACACACAGCGCACTTTGAAATGACGCAATGAAGCTTGATGCAGTAGTAGAAACTCTCGAACGAGACAAAAAATTAAATTAAAACGTAATTTACTCTTATTTTCTATGACAGTAAAACATGAATTTACAGTATGACACATGAGTTCTTTGCTGCCTAATATATAGGATACCAAATAATTTTGAGTGTAGTAACATATTTATACTGCAGATATTAACATTTTACGTGTGATCGCATAATTCTGCGCACAGAACAAGCTCATAAGTCATGGCTTGACGCTTGATGGTAACTCTTCTCGTTAGCTAACTCGCTATTTATCTTTGTGGCGTTACGCAGCAGCAAGAGACGTGATGAAACTATATTATTTATACTTAATTGTTGTCGCTGGACATTTGGAATGTAAGGCATGCTTACAATGTGGGTTCTTACGATGGCAGAAGAGTTAAAGATTAAATGAAGACTGATAACTACCTACTTTTTGTGGCGCAGAAGCCTAAAAACTACCTACTTTATAGTGCGCAGGTGCCTGAGAACTACCTACTTTACAAAAAGTAGGTAGTTCCCAGCTTTCTTACCCGAAAGAAAGTAGGCTATGATGTCATTGTAGACGTAGTAGGTGAATGGATTGACAGACGATAACATTACAGAGTAATAACAACGAAATGTGATATAGTGCTTTGACCTTTTGAGGTCAAAACAATTTACCACTGTCTGGCGGGGGCCAAGGTGCTATAAAGTGACTTACTGACACTCTGTGAATGCCCAGTTTACAGTTTATCCCAACTATTCCAAGTTAAATCCAATCTCATTTGTTAGCCTAGTTCATACATGGCTATTTACCTACTTTAGAAAATTTAATAAAAAAATTGCCTACTTTTGAAATCGTCTGAAAGTTGGGTTTCCAGTCTTAACAGGGCTCATTTGGAGCCCTGCAATATTACTATACATTTATAACAGAACATAATTTCCAAATACTGCGCTATAAAAAAATAAAACAGCAAGTTACTATATGCGGGAAGTCTAAGGCTTACCTTAATAGTTTGTGTATTTTGCACCAAATACATGCAAAATCAGAGGTTGCACCTTTCATGCCCAGAATTAATAATAGAAACTAAAAAATATTTGTAAATATCAATAATTAATACCTTGCATAATTGCATTCCTTTTTATCATATGGTGTTTCATATTTGCAACAGGGTATATATTGGATGATTGCAAACATGTGAAATTACTCTCTTGGCTCATTTCGAGCACAATGACCATCGTTAGCATTTGTTCTATTTTAAACTATTAATATACCTTGTAATCACCTCCAAGAAACATTTCAATACGAATATCTTTGTCCCTAACTTTAACTGTTCCTTTTCTGGCCAGTCTATTAATGCAGTCAAATATTTTGGCACAAGAGACTTTCAGAAGGTCATAATCTTCATGGCCCTTGATGACAGCAATAGTGTGATTCCCTGAATGGTGAATAATAAAGAGTAAGATGTTACCTCTGAGGTACAGTGTATTTACCTGCCCATTCAAGTGATAAACCTGCTAAGCCAGGGTTCTGTATGAAATTGTCCTATTATACTGTACAATAGGTAATACCTTTTGACGATATTACAGTGTCCTCCGCATTAAGAATGGAGAAGCTGATGATGACAAAGTTGGTCAGTCTGGTCATCTTAGCACCGTCGCCACTGATTTTTACTTTTATTGTGCTGTCTGCAAGTGCAACGTCCTTTTCTATGTATTTCAGTTCCAATAATTTATTATCATGAATGATAGAAGCATTAACACTTTGAAGGTGTGACACCTGCCTTTCTAAATCGCTCACCAAATTAACAGTACTTAACTCGTTTTTGTAAATAGCAATATTCTTTACTTTCGTTAGCAGATCATGCCGTCGCCTTCCAGTCTTGCAGAGAAATTGTTTCACCACATCCGAGCAAATTATTCGTAATTGTTCCTCGATTCTCAAACAGTTTTCATTGATCTTAGTTGGGTACCATTCACCAATGAATGCGTTTAGTATTTGTACATAAGAATAGTTTTCCAACACAGGCTTCTTGTTTTCGTGCCAACTTTTTAATAGTCCAAATGGCAAGTGAATTGTGAAGGCAATTTCCCCTCTGGTTTAACACAAGATTTATTTGTGTATTTTATACAATGCTTGTCATCAATAACTATGCCCTTAATATTACTTGTAAATATCGTTTTTACATATTTTTCTAACGCAGTTGTCATGGCTATTATTCTACATGAATATATCTTTATATTTCCCGCTCGAATGCACAAGAACAACTATGCTGTATTACATGACGTAAATCAACAAATCAACAATATTGCTGACCGATAATACTGCAGCCTCTAGTAATATGAGTCTCGAGAAAGAGCTTTCTTCGAGCTTCATTTTGATACCATGGACGAAAGCAAATATGTAACGTAAAAGAGAAAATTTTGTGATTGAACGCATGGAATCTAGTTCCAGAAAGAATTGTAATAGTGTAAATTTTGAACGTTTTTGAAACGTAAAATGGAAAGGGCAAACAAAGTTTGGCTTTCAACATTGGATGGCCATTGAATAGTACAAGATATGAACTTCGATATTCAATGTGGACATATTGGTCAACGCTGTTTAGTTCATCATTGTCGGACCGTAAAGACCATGTGTTTGTCCACTTTGTCGTCAATATTCCAAGGTTAGTATGGTTATCCTATTGCACTGCTTTGTATTTATTTGGAAAGGTTATATCGGCGAATATAAACTTCAAGTATAGCTTAAAATCATCGTTTGTAGGCGTACAACTATGCTCGATGTGGACAAATTCGAATCAGTTTGTAGGTAAAGTTCTGTTTCACTTTTCGTGAAATGCGTATAGTAATTCCTAGTTATTTCTGGACGCCATGTTTTTATTTGATGCGCATAGTCAGTACATAGTGTCTTGAATTTCTGGCCATGGAAGTACCCTCCAACTTTATTTGTTTGTGATACACCATGTGGATTGGCAAGGCATAAGGGACCTACAGTGTCCAGACGTCGCTAAACACTTATGGGGCGATAATGATAGTTGTTTTGAGAAACCTCAGTTTGACAGAAAGCCAAACGTTGTGAGTATGATTATTGTAATGTGCATGTACATATATGCCACAAAACTGACAGCAATATAATCATTTAACTTTATTTCAAGTAATTTGTAACCAAAATGAATATCGTCTCCCTGTTAAATATTTACGTGAATGTTCCAGAAATTGTGCTGACAGAATGTAGGCCATCCCGAAAGTGTTCCAGATCTTGACCATCCCATCAGTGGGAGACGAAGGTATGTTGTTGGTGAGCACTTTCATGCAAGTACGGATCCCCACAAGTCACCACTGTGCTTATCATGACATTAAATTGTTTGAGCTAGCAAGGTCAATTAAAACCAGTTATCAAGAATGCAAAAATCATCAGAAAAATGTCCTTCGTTTAAGAACTTCGACTATACAGTCATTTTTGGTGCACTTTTTGTATACCTTATTATAGGAAATTAACGATGCATTTTATTAACACAGATTTTAAAAATTTGTGTTAATTTATTCATGTTAATTTATGTGATCGTTAATTTTAAGTATGTAATTTTCATTTATCGTTAGTTAAAAATACCTAGATTTGTTTTATATATAACACTAACTCTTTTAATATCAAAATACAGCATATTAACGTAAACTAAAAACATCAGCGCTCCTCTTAACATTAAACCTTTGTTGTTGTGTCTATATTTTCCCATTTGCATTAATTTAATTAATTTGTCAACCATGGAGATCAGATTTGCATTAATATAATCATGTTTTAAAAGACCTAGAAGCAATCCGCGTTAATAAAGTGCATCGTTAATTTCCTATAATAAGGTAATTATTTAATGGACTACTATCACAACGAGCAAATTGTGGAAAAACAACTTGAAAACTTGGAGAAATTTCTTGGGAATGGACAGAAGGTTGTACAAGATATCTATCATTGATTTATCATCGAATGATGAAAAATTTATTAATTAGCCATTTTCCAATCGAACAGAGGACTGGGTCTAGTTGATGTTTGGAGGGACAACAAATGAGCTAAATATATATTAAAAGATGCCTTATTATAATTGTTCCATTTCAGGCTGCACAAGTAACTTTTAGGAATGTAGGAAAACTTCCTAGATGCCATATTCGGCATATTGTAGGCAACTACAATCCTGGACATAAATTATTGGCAAAAGGGTAAAAAATAAGAAAATTCATCGAATTTCAGCTCCCCTTCCCCTAATATCAATGTTGATGGGTGTATTCGAGGCCAGATAACTTGGCCAAACATTGATATTGGGGGAAGGGGGCATCATTGGGACAAACATGTCTTAAAATTATATTTTGAAGTAATAAACTAGTTTTTGCCACTTTTTTGTCCAGGATTCTACACACAGTCCTCTGCTCGATTGGGAAATGGCTAATTAAACTTCTTGTGTTCACCATGTAACTTGCTATCTACGTTGTGTTGGATTTATGGGAAACAATATCATAACATGCATAGTCATGTTTTGTCCAAACTAATGAGTTCTATTTTCTGCATTGTTTGCACAGCCAGTCTTCATCCTCATCTGGCATAATTGGTTATCCAGAACATTCACTGTAAAACAAATTACCGCAAAAACATTCAGATTAGGAAAGTTGTTAATAGCTGGTATTAACCAGTGACCAGCATCATAAAGGATTTCTGAAGTACATCGGGCAATTCGTAAACGTGATCGTCTACTGCGTATTCATAATGCTATGCAAACACCCATTCTTGGGAAAACTATCGTAGACAGTGTATGTGATTAGACAAGCAAAAAAACGTTACTACCAGAACGTAAATAAAAAATTAAGTGATCCGGCAATAAATATTAAGTCATGGTCACTTTCAAAACGCCTTTGTCGATCCATGAATGTTTCCAGAATTCCCACTATAGTTGAAAATGACGTTTTAATAACTGATTCAAAAGAAAAAGCTTGTATTTTTAATGATTATTTTGTTGCACAATCTCAATTACCTGGGTCTGATTCTATTATTCCACCCGATTTTACCTCTCTATCAAAATGCCGTATTTCTTTCTAATGTCCGGGTAACAGAAGTGGAAGTCTTTACTTTATTGCAAAATGTTGATATTTCAAAGGCATGTGGATGCGATGGAATTGGGAATAAGATTATTAAAATATGTTCGGCAGGGTTGTATCAGTTTTTTACTAAATTTATAAATGTATCCTTTGCAATCGGTCAATATCCTTCTAAATGGAAATTGGCTAATGTCATATCTTTATTCAAAAAAGATAATTGTCAAATAAAAACAAATTACTGCTGGACTGAATATATGCTGAACTATTAAAGAAATTGGAAGCACTTGGGATTAGATATCCTCTTTTACAATGGATTGAATGTTATTTACAAAATAGAAAGCAACGAGTTGTTATTGATGGGCAGTTTTCTGAGTGGAAAAATATCAGTTCAGGGGTTCCCCAAGGATCCGGGCTAGGGCCCATTTTATTCCTAATTTATATCAACAATATAACTGACGATCTAGCAACCAATCCGTTTATTTATGCCGATGACACTACCTTCCTTGAAGTTGTCAGTGATCCTGTTATTTCGACTGATCGACTAAACAATGAGTTACTTAAGATTTCGGAGTGGTCTGACAGATGGTTGATGACTATCAACCCATCAAAACGCGATCTGTGGTGTTTTCAAATAAAAAGGTCAAGTGTGATCATCCTTCACTTTCAATGATGGGGTGCGATATTAATGAAGTTGATAGCCACACTCATCTTGGATTAAATCTTCAAAGTAATTTGTCTTGGAATACTCATATTTTAACAATCTATGAAAAGGCTTGCAAACAATTAAATATGTTAAAATCGTTAAAATTTAGGATTGAAAGATCAACGCTTGCTTGTTTATACAAAAGTTTGATAAGACCAACTATGGAGTATGCAAATGTAATCTGGCACAATTGTACTCTTGGGAATAGTCATTTGCTTGAATGTGTTCGATATGAAGCAGCCAAGGTTGTTACTGGGGCAATAAAGGGCACTAGTGCTTCTAGACTATGCGAACAGCTGACCTGGGAGGAATTGAGCGTAAGAAGGAAAATAAATAAATTAACATATTGTTACAAGATTGTCAATAGGCTTGCTCCTACATACCTAGTTGAACTTTTACCAGATTTGGTAAAAGAATGGGCATATATTCCTTTAAAATCAGGACAAAACATTAGTTCTTTTATGTGTAAAAGTGAAAAGTTTAGAAACTTGTTCTTTCCTTCTACTGTTAATTTATGGAATGATCTTGATTTAGATATTAGAAATTTCAGTTTTTAAAGTGAATGTTCGGAAAGTATCCTTGTCACGCCGGGTCAGCAGAAGAGCTCAAGTAGCATTTAGGAGACGACTGTTCGTTTCCAAAATGTCAACGGTCTACTGCCAAAATTTTCAAGATGGCGGAAAAGTCTGAGCAGAAATATTTTACATCTGATGAAGTTTTACAAAATATATTGGCTGATGAGGCCGATTTATCAGATAATGAAGATGCACAGGTCATCACAACTAATCCGGCCGAAGCAATCGATTCTGCTGTGCGAGAATTATGGTCCCTACGCAATCAAACGGCAAATTTTGTTGCTTTTGAGGAGGAGTCAACTCGATCACTCACTTCCCTCTTTGATAAATGGGAAAAACATCGAGTGATCCAAGAGCGGATCTTAAGCTCTACTATTATTGTTGGTTCACTCATTGCTGAGGAAGTATGCAAGTGGTTAAAAATCATTCGTAGGCGTTTATCACCCAGGATGAAGGCTCGAAATGCTTGGACAGTTGAGCTTACAAGGTACTTGTCATGGAGTTTGTTTTCACTAATGAAGGAAGTCGTATTGAAATCAAGCACATCGTTTGGCATTATGCTTCAGCAGAGTGAAAAGGAAGTTGTTATTACATTTACTAATATTGGTCGTGTGTTGCGAGATTTTGAAACCTTTTCAAGAGTTGCTCGCTCAGAGATTTCATCCTATTATTTTTCAAAGACTTGTAGAGGCAAATCTAAGGGTAAAATTGCTGTTCTGGTAGCTGAAGAAAAGCCATTACAGCTCAAGTACATTAAAAGGAAAAGTGAGATAATTTTCAAGTGCCATTACTCATTCGAGAATGAATTTGGTTATGTTTTCAGCTAGGCCAGTTTAGCACCCAACAGTGATGAATGCTCTACTGTGTTGTACAGTGACAATGTAGATATATTTTTTTGTGTTGAACAGATAAACAGCCTATGCAGTGATTTTTAAAGTTTAAGCCGTTGATTATGCATTGCGATTGGATTATGCTGGTACTGCTGGTATTATATCATATCACATATGTGTTGGAATGTAACATGTTGTAGAAACTGATGCAAGCACATACAGTCGGTTTCACATTCCTTTCTGGCAGTACTGGAAAAATTAGTTTTTAACCCATTAACGTCCAATACTTTCTCCTGATGTGTAAAATTGTCTGGCATTAGACTAACCCATTAACGTCCAATACTTTCTCCTGATGTGTAAAATTGTCTGGCATTAGACAGAGCAAAATAACAAAGTAGGGTGCATTGGAGCTTAATGGGTTAACAATAGGTACAGGCAGATAGACTGGTTAATCCATTAACGTCCAATACTCTTACCTTAACAAGTAAAATATCTGGCATTAGACAGAATTAACACCTTGTCCACCATACTTACCCGTTTGGTTGGTTAGGTGTTAGCTCAGCTGACCGAGGGGGGTGACCTGGACGGACTCCTGTTACTTGGACTCAGATTAACTCATTAACGCGCAAGCTGTTACAATGTTTCTACCCCCATAACGTGCAAGCAATATGGCGAATACGTGACTGAATTCAAGAGCTTTCACCAAAATGGCAATATCTCAGAAACAGTTGCATGAAAAAATCTGGTCTTTTCAACCAAATATTATTGATATATGATTGACCAAATTTAGTTTAAATGAACTTGCATACCTATATATATCATTAGTTTTTTCAATGAGAATTTTTATTTGTAAACCAGTGACACTATTTTTTCATGTCACTCATCACCTAAAGGGGCAACATCTCCATATATTTATATAAAAACCAAAAAAAAAAATATTTACTAAATTAGTACATATCTATATTATAACCAATTTTCATTTATTGGGATATGAATTAGAAAATGATCAAAAATTATAAAAAATACTCTTTTGCTTTTTTGGGCAAGATGTTTACAACATGAAATTTAGAACAGTAACTAAGTGTTAAAATTCAACAAAGTGTGCAAGCCAAAACACAGTGCTTGTACATCTTTGGAGTTTTTAATTACCTCAAATATATTTAAAAGGACATACGGTACTAGAATCTATTTGTTTTCAATATAAAACAAAGGATGGGAAGGTCAGAAAATAGGAATTTTCTGAGGTGTTTTTAACACAGACAATGACCGCCGACATTTTCAAAGGCAAATTGCGGTGACAAAACCAAAAGTTATTCACTTCTCTACTCAAAGCACTGAAAAACACCATAAAGAGAAAAACATTTTAAACATACATCAGGTAAGCCTTTTAGCTCAATTTTCTCATGTTTCTGTTTGGAAAGAAACGGTTTTTAGCCAAAATTATTTTGCGCGCCAATGTAGGCTGCTATAAAATGTCAGACAGCGTTCTCTTTTGAAGTCTGGCTCTGAAAAACAATCGCTTTTTTTTAGTTTGAAATAAGCTTTCATTAGGACTAATTGTGTAGAAATGTTATCTGTATGCTCAAATGAAAAAGATAACCTAATAGTCAGGTATTCAACATAGCTATAAAAGGGTGAAATAAGGACTTTCATCTTTGGTTGTTTGTCAGACATGAGAAACCACATTAGTGCCATTTTGTCGCGCGTGCTATTTTATAAAATAAACACGTCAAAACCATTAACTTTTAGTTCAGAAAATTACAAAGTTTCCCATAGACGTTATTAAAAATGTTCTAGTGAAACGATTTCATGATAAATAAGCGAGCAATGGGCCCGAAAGGACGGCTAAATTATGTTTTTGGTGGGACTTCAGTTTCATGGCTTCCCGCAAAGGAAGCCATTTCAGAGAGAAGCGACAACAACGGCAAACAACCGTCGCGACCAAATTTTGATAACTTTTCCTTCTGATTCAACATGTAGTTACTAGAAAATGAGGTTGGATCAACATTACTATCTGCCTTATCGATTTAAAGTTTTATGGGGATATAAAACCCAATACAAAAAGCATTTTAAAAGCTTTAGAACTCAAGTGCGGACTTTTTGAGAATTCGCACGCGGCAAGCAAGCGCATTAATTCAATACACTTATTTCAAACCACAATATGTCTGAAACGAGTTGTCATTTTAAGACTAAATTGATGAAAATAGATATAACAGTGATTTTGGAGTACCCTACTTACTTAGTGTAATTTAATACTCGAAGTATTCTTGCCGAATAGGGCACGTACGCACACAGTAATTTAATCTGGTGTCGTTTGAAACATACTTTAGCTAAAATAACAACTTGAACAAGAAGACCAACAATGGGGTTACGAAACCAGTCGAAATTGTGCCCAAATTTGCATAAACAGTTCGTCTAAAAAGATAACTTTAAACTAGATTCAACCAACATTAATGCAGTCGAATTTTGTGAGTGTTTGATCGCATATTTCTACTCAAAAATACCCTTTAAAAAATCGTATCTGCTCATTTGTGTTCCGTGTTCATCTTTCTTGTGATTTCCGACTTCTATTTTTAATAAAGTTTGGAGAAATCCTCATCTTTTTGGCTGAAAATCTCGCGCATGGTTCACAGAAAAACGTGGCCCCAAAACGTCAATACATTCGCTTTCCTTTCATGCCAAATTTTCGTTGTAGTTGATTCAGAAACCTCTTCTTTTCTTGCTTTTAAAACTTGCTGTAAAATCTTTCTTTGTAACAGAATCGCCATTATTCATTATTTTTGGAAAACTAAGATTTTAAACTTGAAAAACTTTGCGAGTTTCTGACCGATTTTCTTGCATGATACATCGTTGAAAAGCTCGAATTTCACGTTCTATTTTCGTATCCGTTGCTAGGCAACCCGATAAACACGTGCTCAAATATCATGCCCGCAAGTTAAGGTGTCATGCCAGGGCGCATTCGGGCGCATTGTCCGTTACCCACTTGTCAATCTCAGGGCGCATACGGGCGCATTGGGCGTTAATGAGTTAAGATCCGTGACAATGGCATCTTGAGCTGCCACCCCCCACCGAACTAACACCTTCACACCAATTAAAAATTGGTGGAAATAAATTGTTGAACTAAGCATACAAAAGGAAAAAAAAATAAAAATATTCAAAGCGCACGTTGTCGTCGTTTGGACGTCAGACTTGGAATGATAGATGTCACCTACTCCCATTGCGCCATCCCCCCGGTCATGTGACGTGCTGACGTCAGAATACCTGGTTCCCAAGTTGCTAACCTTGGTTATTGCATAACCTCATTAAAATAACAAAGTAAGGCTCACTGGGGCACATTGCAGTTAACTAGTTAATTTAACCCATGCACCAATTAATGGGCATTGCACTCCAATTCACCTTACCTTAATATTTCACTCTGTCTCACGCCAGACACTTTTATTTCTAAATCAGTAATTTACTCTCTTAGGGAAGGTTCTTGCACATTAATGGTTACAGCAGTTACGCAAGATTTGCTACCCCTGGCGGAAAAGGCCTGGCAGCAATATAGTTGTTTTTGACAATCAGGTGCAGTCACTAATTATATGCCGGTTTGTAAACAAAGCCCCTGGTTAGTTCGAAATAAAAGAAGCCAATCAAATGCTTAGTGATGTCAAATTAGTGACTGTCCCTGAATGTCAAAAACAACTATTGCTAACAAGACTTTTCGCAAGGGGTTGTGAATCTCGTGAAACTGCTGTAATTAAATTCCAATTCACTTACGTTAAAATTATACTGTTATATCAACAGTTAACCAGCTTTAGCTAGTAATTAGATGAAGAGGATCTGCAAATTCTATAGTGGCTAAATCTGGTTGACAGTGGATAAATGAAAACACTTGCAATTTCTTGGAATGTAACTTGTAAGTTTTGTAGTAAAAAACACTTATAATGATTGTATTACAACAATACTAATATATATTAAATATTTAATAAACTTTCATGTTAAAAAGTATATTTACAATAATAAAATATTATAAATATTTTTGCATTTAAAAATGCACAAACCAATAACCTGTATTATTAAATAGCATGTAAACCTTTGACATAAACATATATCAACAATCTCCACAACACATAACTGGTTGTTACTGCTGCTTAGGCATTTCTGCCAGTTTGAA